CTTAGTGGAAAGCATATTCCGTGACTGCGGTTTCTATGTGGTTGTTTTGCGTGGGTTTGTGGTGGGGGTTTTTGGGAGGATGGGTGTTCTTTGTTGTCTTGTTGGCTGGTTGGTTTTTTACGTTTGCAATCATTACCATTTTTATTTAAAATTCCAGCGAGGACAGCAGGGCCATTTAAAGGTAATAAGCATCTTGGTAGGACAGTACAAATACCCTCAGCTTGATTTATCTGGCCGTTATCACTGTATTCCTGAATTTGTGTGATTTCCCAAGTCCAAAAGCTTTTTTTTTTTTTTTTAAGTCGTGGTGCCCTAAAGAAGTCAAATAAGAAATAACACGTAATTGAATAAAATTCCAAATTTCATGCTGTGACTTGAAAGATGTTAAGGGGTAAGCACTATAAAAGTAGCCTGTAAAATACAAGCTAGACATTCCCCTTTTCTCTGTGTAGTGTGTGCACCCCTTTCTGACTCTGCTGTGTTCCCTCAGAGTTTCTCTGTGATTGTTATTGCCAAAGCAGAGTTGTGCTAGAAGGGGCAAGTGTTAGGGAAACTCAATGCAACAAAACAGAAGGGCAAAATAAGCCTTGTCTTATTTTCCATTAATTTACTGTTTAGTGACCTCAATTTTGTGCATGTTTGGAGATTGGTCCATTCTGCCTTGACGTCAGATGTGTGGAAAGGAAGTAAAACTAGATGCTAAGTAAGCTTTTAGTCTTTGTTTTGTTGTTTTTTATTTGTTTCCAAGATACAAGGCCTGTTAGTCTAACATGTGAGCAGACAACTTTTATGAGACTCCTTTGAAGGGTTCTTTTATGAGTTAACTAAGCTTCTCATAGCTCTTTTTTTAAACTAGAACTCTTATTTCTTCTGCTTAGTCTTCTCCCAGTGTTATTTTAATGAATTGGTAAATTGATACTGCCCTCGTTCTTCTTTCTTCTCTTTTCACATTTCCATTGAATTTGAAGAATTGAGTTTATTTTTCTTCATACATTTTCCTTTCCTTTGCTCTCTGCTCTTTCTATTCTACCTAGAACATTTCTCATCTTTGAGAACATGTAAACGTACTTGATTTACCAGTAAGAGTTGTCATAGTGACCTTCTGGCACTGTGTGTGATTTTAAGCCTTTTTTGATCCATAGTGATCCAAATAGTGTAAATATTAAGTCTTTCTATGGTGTTCTATCTTCCCTAAAAGAGCTGAGTTTTTCATACATCTGTTTATTGGCATATTTTAGTAAACCAATATTTTCATAATTGTATCATCTTTTTTTTTCTTGTATTGCATAATTATTTAAAATAAATGTAAAACTGATGGTTCCATCTTTGCTGACTAATTGATAAATTAAAGCCAGTAATTTGATAACAAACACTTCCTCTACCATAAATTCTTGTATTTTTCAAGATCTGTCTCAATATTGTGGGCTAATGCCATTTTGCAGTCTCTCTTAAGCCTAGTTTTAACAGTGGAACTAGCAGCTTAAACTAAACCAAATGACACACTTTCAAGTTGATAAAATCACTTCTCAGGTATTATGACTTTGCGAGTAAGTAAAGCTAAGTAGACGTTATCCTTATGCTAACACAAAGTGTAAATTTCCCATTGTTCAAGTAGATACAGTTTATCATTCTCTGTAACTTTATCAGGACCCTATGGATTGTGCTGAAACACTCACTGGCGTTTCATTAAGTTTGTAATTAAGGGTGAAATCAAATAGCTTAATTATTTTACTAGAGTCTGAAAAGATGCACTTAATGAAGTCTTTGAGTACCTAATTCCCTTGAAGTGAGTTATGACATACCTGGCATGAAAACCTTCACACTTTGTCCAATTTTTGTCTGGCAGTGCCCTATCACCTTCCAGTGAATGATGCCAGTTCATCATTTCCTCAAAAGCAGGAGCTGTACATACAGAGTCCCTTTTTCATAGGGGTCTGAATATTTTACTCACACCTTTTTTGTAACCTCTTTTCTGTTTGAGAGAGTTCCAGCCTGCGAGCTACACAAAATCTCCCGAGCATTGCTCCAACTGTGAACAATTTGGTTTTTGACTATTGCTTTAATAGCTAAGACATAATTTCTCAAATTCTTAGCTTGAAAAGGCATTTCTTCTTGAAATCTGATTCAGGAGGAGTTTGGGCTCTGCAGTTGAAGCAGGGATTGTAATCCACATAATAAAAACATCTGCGTGCTTGGTCCAGTTGGATAATTAGCTGCAAAGATACTTGGGATGAAGCAGACTTGGCTGACAGATAAAATCCTTGCACTTATTCATATCTCAAGGGATTGGGTGAGTTCACTTATTATCCTCATTTGTTAGAATTAGTCTCATTAACAAAAACTTGGGTTGCTTTCTACCTACATAGAACATGACCTGTGCATAAGGTGGCATTAGGGCTTTTAAGCTTCATACGTGCGTATTATTCTCTGTGCCAATGTTTAGAAAAGTATGCTTCAAGTATTTTAAACATATAACACTTTATAATACGTTATTCCATTTAATTAGGTTATTGAAGCATAAATTACAGGCTAGTATGGTTAAAAGGTTTATGGAACGTCACAGGATTAGCTAGCAAGCGATGAATGACAGCGGCATTCACTCCAGTTGTGGCCTGAATAAGAAGTTGGTTTCCTGAGGCAAAGACTCGTGAGCCTTCCAAATCCAGATAGAAATGTGCTGGGAATAAGAGGGCTCCAACTCCATGGAATTTTGTTGAATCCATTTTCAGTTTTGGTCCTCCTGTATTTTCTAAGCGCTTCCCTGCTAATAACTGTGTTCTGTCAGACAGGGGAAATAACATAAACTTTATTTTACAAAGAAAGGACTGAGCTTCAGAGAGAATAACTTCCAAGGTCATGCAGGTAGCTCATGAGCTAGAACGTGAAGCCTTGGCTACTTTTTCTTAGCTATTTTACATTATTTCTTTTAAACGGGCAGAAGGAGATCTTCCATTTCCTGCCAAAACTTGAAAGTTTCTCTCCCAGCCTCCTTGAGATACCTTCTCCAGTGCCCTTAAATCAGCAACTTTGTCCATTTCCCCACTCCATGGGGATCCTGTGGTAGAAGAGAGTCTCCTCACTGCTGCTCTGTGCTTCACTGAAGAACTGAGCCAAAAATCCGGATAGCTGCCTCGATGTGGCCTTTGACTGCTTGCAGTTATGCCTTACATGCCTTGAAGGCATGCTCTGGGTGTCCTTCTGGTATGCTCTTTTCGTCTTTAAAAATGTGTTTATTCAAGCTTCTATAGCACATGGAGAAGCAGGAATTTACTTCTTATGGTTCAAAACCAGGCATTGCCCAAGTGCAATGTTTGTCTTTCCGTGACTTCCCAAAGGCAGTGTTATGTGAGTCTTCAGAAATCTTTAAGATGTGGACAAGGAGTAGGGAGAGGTACATGGTGGTATGTAGGTACAGGGAATTTTGCATACAGAGAGGAACCTGTGATTTTACTGCATCAGGAAGAAAGATCCCTAAAGTCACATAACTGAGGTTTCCATCCTTGAGCGTTTCTTGAAAGTCATTCCAAAATACACACCTTTTTAAACCTAGAGTGTCAGCCTGTGAACAGCAGACAATCAGTGCACTATGTGCTGCCTTTTGGACAACCTACAGTTCGTCCAAAGTAGTTGCTGGTTTGGAGATTTTAAAAGTTATTTTACTTTTAGCCATGTTATCTGAAAACTAAAGCAATGTATGCATGTCAGTTACTGGACCTCAACAACCTGGATTTAGAAAATGTCTCTCAAGTTCAGGGGGAGAGAATTTACAACCTTGTGAGACCACTCTGGATTTTAGGCTACACTCTGAACATTCAATATGATTTGGCTAATTGCACTTTGAATATAACTTTATTTTTACAGCAGATTCTGACTTTGGTTTTTTTTTTCCTTCTGGAAAGAAATGCTAGTATCATGTAAAATACACGTTTTACTTGTGGAGACGTTTAGTTTTTATCTGAAAGAAATCAGACTCCCTTAAAATGTTAATCTTCATTGCTGAGAAGCGTGCTGCTAGGAATACTGGGAAAGGTTAAAACCAACAATCTCTAGGCAAGCTGCTGATTGTTCATATTTGTGTAGAAAAAATATGGTTCCTTATTTACTAGATGCTTGCTCTGTGTTCATCCTAGTAAAAGATCCTCCTGCAGGCCTTAATACTGCTGCTATTTTACCTCCCATAATGAATATTCAAAAGCTGCAGTCATTGAGGACTCAGGTGGCAAAAATAGTAAGATGATTGAAGCAAGCCTTGACATAAAAGCCTAAAAGTACATTTCCAACTACATAGAATAGTGCCGATTTCCCTTTCTGACCACGTAAAAGAATGGGAGAAATCTCCCATGAATTGAATGCCTGTTTCACACACTAGTGTGATCGCATCTTTCTTTCTGTATGATGTGTTGTAATAAGTATGTTTAAAAAAAAGGGGGGGGGGCAAAAAGACAACAGAGCTTTCTGTAATCGTCCCTCACCAAATGTATTGGAATTGAAAATTGGGTATAAAGGACACACTGTTAAGATATGGCAATGCATGCATTGTTTTCCACATAATGCAGTCAGGGTCTCCATGGTAAAAAGAAATTTTTATTTTATTTTTTTGTCACCATCAGCAGTTAACCTAAAGTAGGAGCTGCTCCATTTCATTATAGGTTAAATGGCTTAGCACACAAAACTAGCTGAGAAATGTACATCATTAACGCTGCATTTTTTTAACAGGTTTTAAAAACATGCTTTAGGATTAGTGAAGAAAATACAATACAGCATATGTTATTGTTCTGGATTTTTTTTTAATAGAAAGTGCTCCTTTTCAGCATTCCCCCTTCAGTGGAGTCACTTAGACACTTCCAGCTGGTGGCAGGGGATACAGCCATAATACAGCTTTCTCTGTCCCAGCTGTCTTTTTCATTACGTTAAATGCATTACGATGGCTGCACCGTTTCATAAACGTTCAGGTACAGAAAGGTATAGGAAGAAATCTGCAACTATGTATTTTTGTGGTGACTGCAAGCTTCTGTGAGATCTCTGAATCCTGAATGTGTTCCTGGCTCTGGTCACAGATTTCCTTCCAATCACTGGAACATTTGCTGTAAGGGCTGGCTAAAGGTGCCCGAGGAAATCACCTTTTACAAGGGAGCATTGTTGTAAAGGATTTTTAATGCATTATGGCTCACGCAGCATCACAGTTAAAGAAAAACAGGGATTTAGAAATTAATGCTGATGAAGAAACTGAGAAAAAAAGAAAACACAGGAAAAGATCCCGGGATCGGAAAAGGTATCTAGATCTGTGCCAAATTCTGACAGGGTTTCTTTTGTTTTCATTTTCTTACCTTGCAATTGAAGTATCAAAGCTGGTTCTTGCGTGTAACTTGGTAGCTGTCGGAGTAATTTGTTAACACTGTAAAATAGCATTGATAGCCAGGGCTGTGGGGTTTGCAAAGCAATTGAATGTTTAATTGGATATTAGTTGATTGCAGTGATGATGCAGAAGGTGTGCGTTCGTTTCCCAGATAAATCACTTGTGTTACTGTGATATGCAAACTGTCTGTGAGTTGAAAATAGTTTGTAACCATGATGTGAGGTAAAACGCTGAGCTTTTTTGTAGCTTTAAACAGCAAAATAGTTTAGCTTTACATACATGTACTTGGAAGGGATGTGTGTGGAGGCAGATTTATTTTTTCTTTGTGTTGGGACTGTGTCACATGTTTCGCGTCTGAAATATCCATTTTTGGGATAATGTTACAGAAATAAGGTGTTTCAGTGTTTCTCTTTTTTCCTAAGGGTGAGCTGTTTTATGGAATTGAGCTGCAACCATCTGTTATTAGCAACTTTCTTTTGTTAGGGAAATATGTGACTTGGGATCGAAGAGCCTGTTTTTTCTCTGCTGTAGATTTGTCTTAGCTGCAGAAAACCCTCCAGCAAACTAGGATCTGAAAGAATTCAGTAGGCACTGCATTGCTCATTGTTCGGTTTGGGAGCCTCTGTGTGATTCCAGTCTTACTGTTTCTTTCTAAGGTATAAAGCAAAATAGTTATGGTTTGTGGCATAATGACAGGTAAAGGGGCTAGCCACTTGGGCAGCTCTGTGGGTCTGTCCTTAAAAATGACACCTTGTACTCTGCTCCATAGAAATAAGGCCCTGCCATGATTTCTTGTCTTTGGCTGTATTTTATCATAATTTTTCAAGAACATATCAAGTAGCCAGTTGTCTGACCAGAAACCTGGGTATGTAGTATTTCTGTGTGCCTTTGTGAAATCCCCCTAAGGGGGGATTGGATAATCTTCATATGCTCAAAGAAGTGCATGTGCTTCCCTAAATGACATGTAGATTTCCTCTAACATATGTGCATCTTTTGGTTGGGTGAGAGTCAGCATTTTCCTGCCCTTTTCTCTTTTTTTTTTTTTTTTTTCTCTGCCATGGCAGTACTATACATAATGAAAAGCACTAAGAAACCCACTGCCTTCTGTTTTAGTGAGCACATTAGGAGACCGTTTAGATGGCTGCAGCGAATGTACTGCAGCATGTTAACTGAAGGTATTCTTTCTGTGTGAACGTATACATACAGATCTTCTGAATCATCTTCCCATATAAAGGAATGCGTGAAAATAAGATTCTGCCTCTGGGGTCAGTTTTGAAGTGCTGCTGTTTAAAACTGGCCTGAATTAGAAAGATTTTTTTTCTCGTCTGCCATTTAGGTTATATTACATTACATTTGTAATGTAGCTATCGGGGTGGGTTTTTCCCCCAGCTGAAAATGACCACAGCAGTTAAGAATTTTAGGAGCTGGCCTGTCAGCCTGTATTTACTTACAGCTTGTGAGCTAAAATGTATAGTCTCTCAGCTAACTCTACTCATGATGCAGGAAACCCACGTTGTACTTAATGTGCTCAAGTTTAACAATAGCGTGCCCAGCCATATCCATCTACTGTCTTTGTGCAAGGGTGCTTTCTCACAGTTTGTAATTAGAACAATATAGAAGGGATGTGGCAGTGAGAGGCTCTTGATTCAGTGAGGTGAGACAATTGCTTTGTGGACAAAAATGCTTTTATTGTTTATACAACACAGTGCTGTAGAAAGGAAATCTCTTAGCAACCAGAGTGGCACATGGATAAATATCAGCCTATGAATCTCAAATGTGTGGACTTTTTTTCAGTGTTTTGTTTCTGCATCTTAAGAATGAGGTAAAATTAGGCAGCTTTTGCTCCACCAAAGGTTTTTTTGGGGTTTCCCCTCTTACCAACCCCTCTGTGTCACACTGGAATTTGATAGCTTATTCCAGTTTCTTTCTCGGTTTCCTCAGGACTTTGCAAATTCAGGGCATGTAGAGGCTCTTTCTGCTAGGAGAATGGAGCAAAAAGCAGCAATTGCTTCCCTTAACATTTATACATTTGGGCATCACTCTTCTCACAGCAAAGACATGATTTTGCCACCCAGCACATAGGGCGTAGGAAGTCCAATAATTGTGGTTTGCCATTTTGTACTTTCCTGACTATTTAAAACATTTTCCCCCCAATTTTTCCACTATGAGTTGTGAGTCACTTCTTGTTCCTCTGCACCACCCACAAGCAAGCAGTACTCAGAGGTTTTTTTTGTTGATCACATGATACTGCACAAAGCTAACCCTTTGCTTAAGCAGTATACAGAAATATCCTTTAGGGTCTTCCAGTCACATTGGAACAACAGAGTGTGCTAATGTTCCTGGATAATTTATAGAGTAAGGAGACCAAGGCAGCCAATGGTTAGAAAGTAAGGCTGGTGGGAGCACCCAGTGTCCTAGACTTTATGATACCAGCAACAGTCACACTGATTTATGTTCCTATTTAGTTTGAGGATTGCAATCTGAGGGTAATATTTCACTGCTTTTGACTGGTTAAGCAATTTACAGTGTAATAATGTTTCTGCTAAGGCTCGCTTCAATACTTATACAAGAGATTTGACCTTTTTAAAAATATACACAAAGCAAAACCCTGTGTTATATCCAATCCCATTTCATTTCAAGGTGAGATATTTTCAGATTGCTGCACTGAGCTCTGTTCAGATGCTGTGCTTCTGTGCCCTATGGACACTCCTCCCCACTCTTTCTGTTTGCCTGAATTCAAGACATTTCTGAAGGTTCAGAGCTTCAAGAATTTAACTCATGCAAGAGGAAGGGATGAGGCCAGCAAGTGAAGGGAGCACACTGAAAGGTCTGCATTATGCAGGTTTCCCGTTTATTCTGTTCAAGTTTATATTACAGCTTCAGGTAGTTCTGTCTCTGGAGGGTTGTGCAGTGTCCTACACTGCAAATAGTTTGAGTACACCCAAGGGCAGACCTGAGCTTTAAATGGTATCACAGAGCAAGCCAAGCCACCCTTAATAATAAGCGGTTGATATGATGGCTTGCTTGCTTCCTCGTAGCACAGCTTTGTCGTGCATGGTTTAGTTTGTGAAAACTAGAAATTGTTTATCCTAGAATAATATATGAAAAGAAATTAGTTGCTTAGTCAGTGCTGTTCCTAAAATAAAGGTGAAATCTCTGGATTTTTTTTTTGGTATGTTCTCTGTTTGGTACATAGTAGGAGAGAAGGACAGGTCTTGGCACATACTCAATGATTTATGTTTTATGCAATATTCAGTAGGACTGAAGTGGTTTCCATTTGCGTGTAGTGCTCAGGAGCTAGCGTGTTCTTTGGGAACACAGAATAGCTTGAGCATAACCCAAAGCCTGGCTGCTGCCATGTCTGAGATATTAAAGGCTGTTGCTGTCACATCCTCTGCTGCTGCAAACTTGTGGGCAGCAGGGAAAGTAGCGGATGCCAGCGTCGCACATCCGGGTAATTTCATCATAAGGCTCACAGTGTGTGAAGGTTTTACTTAACTTTCCAGTACACTGGAGGAATTGCCCTGCAATTTCCTAATGGGTACAAACTGAAATGCTGTGTTGGGAATGATCAGCCTGTGAGGTGTGTGGCCGTTCCCATGGCTTCAAGGAGCTTGTGCATCTTCTGGACTGGGCTCTGCTCCCAGCTGCGAGGGCCTGTGGGAGAGACGCCTTGGACTGCCCGAGGTAGCAGAGCTGGAAACACCTCCCAGGGACAGGGGGACCCCAGGAGCGCATCATCAGACACTAGCTGGGAGAATCCCGCTGTTTCCTTTCCCCTCAGCTCTCTTGGGGCTGTCAAATGGATCTCAGCCATGTGGAGGTTTCAGCACAAGTCTCATGAGGTTGAAAAAATTCACCATCTGCACCCACACAATTAACCTGAGAAGAGGATTGTGTGCAGACCAGCTTCACGCAAGTGGCTTCTTCAGTTTGGTTCACGGCGATCATTAAGCAGGTTTAAGGAAAACAGGGATAATTCATTCTCTGACAGGCACATGTTCCTGCAATAAATTGCCCTGTGGTTTTAAAAAGCAATTTGGGTTGGAATTGTGGGTTTTTTCACATGCAAACAAGTCTACCAGTTATCAGGTAAAGCTTGAAATGTGAGCTTCAAGGCTTTTAACTCGGATAACAAGTACAAATCCCCATCCGTTTTTTAAAACATAATAAAATTATTTCAGTTTTTAAACCAATCTCAGGATTAGAGATCTGTTTCATGGTTTCTAATTAGCTGAACTTGCCAGTAGTAGAAACTAGATAGATTGGGCACAAATGATTGTTCCATAACTTGTTTCTGTTAAAGCACAAACCGAACAGATGTTGCCCTAACATCTGGGAACGTGACCTATGGTAAATGAAAAGATCATGTAGATTTAGGGCCTGAAGGAAAAATTGTCAGTGAATCTCTTCTAGATGTGAGGAGAGTTTCAGTTTTATCCTTGATTTTGGACATGATGCTCTGCTAGAGGGAAATCTAATTAAATAGCAGAAAGACATTTTTGATAGATGTTTAGGGACATCAGTGGATTGGGCTATCTACTAGTAGTGTTGAATTCTTACAGGCACTGAGTTTGGTGGTGAAAGAGTAAAATTTAGCTGGAAAAACAATTATTTCTTTGAAGATGACCCCCAAAGGAATTGAAAAGATTGCATTGTATTGTGTGGGTAGCACTACAGAATCATTTGAAGTGGGCACTGCTCTGTGTTACTTTGCTGTTTATAAACCCAGGAAAAATTTGCACTGTTACACATTTACGTTTTTATTTAGGCAGGTTTACAACATTTAGCTTTACCTCTTCACCTTCTTGATGCTGCAGGATTGTGTCGTCACTTCAGATGGCCATTAGTTATAATGCAAATGTCCGTTTGGGCTATAAAACATATTATGCTTCACGTTAGCAGTTTGTGGTGGG